TAGGCTATATAAGTCGCTCAAAACAATAAGTGCATGTCTGCTAAAGCTCAGAGTTCGCTGCTTCTCTACGCTTTTACTCCCGCTTTTTTAGTTCGTGGAACAGTGCCAAGAAGATGAAATGCCTGCGCTTGTTGGAGGCAGTGACGACGAAGATGAAGAGGAACAAGCCAAAGGTTTTCGTTGTTTTTTCCCGCTATATGTATGTTCATTTTTTGTTGTAAATTGCTCTGTTTACAGAAGGCGAGAATCAGGTAGAAGTGCCATCAAAGCGGCAGAAAATGGATGAAGCTGTAAAAACGCCGAAATCGATCAAAGCTGAAACTATGGAGGTGGAAGGCATTCATTCTGATGCGAAGCCGAGCAGTTCTTCTGATAATGTCAATTTTACTGGCGATACTTCTGCAGAGGTAAATTCATGCAAAACAGTCACATGATAATTTTTTAAATTTATGTAAAATTGTCACAAGATAACTTATCAACTTTAGATGTGAAGAACTTATATAAAATCAATTTCATTTCTCTGTTTTGGCCAATTTTGGTAGACAGCTTCAGCTCGCTTTCATGAATCGCGCGTAATGCGTTTCCGAATGGAGTGTCCTGAATTTTACCTCCGAAATCCGTAACTAATCTTTATTATCTTCTCCACAATAAAAAATGATTATCTGCCATGTATGTAACTTTAATTCCGCATCCCTACAAACAAATAATTTTCTCTATTCGTATGCTGAGCTTTGTTATACCGTCATTTATAGAATAGAGAAGAAACATCCCAAAATAAGGAACAATCTAAAAAGCATGTCACGTGGGATGAAGCTGTCAAAGAAGAGGATGAAGAGGAGGAGACCAATCCAATCAAGAAAGCAGCGAAGCAAAGCATCAAAGACACAAAAAAGGTCAGCATTCATTCTGGTTTTGTCTCCGCTAGCCTGTTTTCGCCTACATACCGGTTTATTTTGCAAAAACTCGACCGTTTAGCAAATTCCTGACTATTATGATCCTGAAGAAGATGATGAGAATGAGAAATGGATGCAGCGCCAACGGAAAAAGGCTACGGGATTGGGTGACCCTAAGAAAGCGCAGGAAGCTAGGTATCGAAAAATTTGCGCAATTTACAGATGCAGCTGATTTTTTTAGACCAAGTATCGATGGAAATTCTGATGCCGTTCTTTCATGTCCCGGATGTATGG